GGAGGTAGAAACCTGTGGCCCCATTGGAAGCTTTCCACACAGCCAGGTCCCTAACAGGGCCTGTCCCCAACCTGGCTGAGCAGGGACTGACTTTTSCTGGTTCAGGTTCCCAGCAGGATCTTACCCAACCCCTGAGCTGTGACCCCTGCCATCATAGTGCATGTCCTGGCCTCACTTCTTCTCATTTTAGCTCTTTCCCCTGCCATGAGGCTCCTTTCCCCTCTCAGCTTGTGTCACTTCTCCCCCATCTGAGTTTCCTCCAGTCCCTSTGTGCTTTGGTGGCAGTGGAGCTGTTGGACAGGCAGTTTTTGGGATGGGTTTTCCATCTGCAGGGCTCCGTGTCTGTGCTGTGCTCTGTTCGAGCAGCAATTTCCTTCTGCTGCTCCATCTGCAGCCCCCTGGAGCAGAGGGCAGGCAGGGATGGGCAGAGCTTCCTTTTCCCAAGTGAGTGTTGACAGCCTGTCCAAAACATCCAGGGATTGTCCCTCCTGGTGCTAGGAGATGGGCACTGCCAAAATCCTCACTGTGCGTSTTGTGAAATCCCCTTTCAGCACATAAAAGCCCCCAAATCCCACCAATTCCGTTTGAATTTTGCTGTGGCTGTGTTGGGAGAGAAAGTCCTGCAGGTTAAGGGACAGTGCCACCACAGAACAAACGGGCAGGGGAGGCAGAAGGTGCCTGGTTTGGGGAGCTGAGGATGCTCCCGGAGCATCCATGAGCAGATTTGGGGTGGGRTGATTCCATACAGGTCTCTGTCTGCCCCAGGATCAGCTGCAGGGCTTGGACCCCTCCATCCTCTCCGTTCTGGAGGTGCTGCTGGATCCCAGCCCCTGTCCTGACCCAGCCAGGCAGTGAGGAGAGGCTTTAAAAACATTCCCTGTGCAAATCCCAGCCAGAAATAGCCGTGCCAGGGTCGGGGTTTGTCTGTCTGCGGGGGCTGTCAGCGAGGGRGGCTGGGAGCAGGTGGCTCCTGAGGAAGGCACAACACTGGGGCAGCCACCCCGCTGTCCCCAGCCCAGCATCTGCAGTTTTCTGGCAAAAAAAAGTGTCCCAGTTCTGTTTTTTCCTGGTGAACCAAGGGCTCTGACCCTTCTGCTGAGCTGGGGAAGGTTTGCTTTTAAGCAGAGGGTGCCAGACCCTTCCCAGGCTTCTGCAGCTGCTGGAAGGGCCAATTTTCCCATTTTTGTGCCTGCAAACTGGGACTTTTTCATGCTCATCTCCTGCCTCATGTCCTCTCCCACCCTCCCACAAGTGTTTTATTCTGCAGCCAAGTCCAAACCATGGAGATTGTTAAAAAAAAACAGCAAAGCCACCACCTTGAGGAGGAGGGAAAAACAGCCTGTTCCCATCTTGGGCTTTTTGAGAGCGCTGATCATTTCACAGGGGAGGTCAGGGAATGTGGGAGAAGTCCAGCGTAAGATTCTGGGATGTTTGTTCTCAGAGCCCRGAGCTGTGCTGATGTCTTGTCCAGTGCCAGGTCCCTGGAAATTACCTGCAGTATTTAGGGTTCAGCTTTTGGATAAATATTTTGAGTAAATTTTTGAGTAAATAAATCTATAAATATATTTGGATAAATAATAATATATATTTGGATCTGTATTTATATTTGGATAAAAAAAAATTAAATAATAATAATTGCAATGAAGCCCTCAACAGTTTCCCCCCCCCAAAAAAAATCCCTGATGGTTCAGCTGTAGTCAGGATGGTCTGGTGAATTCTCTGGATTTGTGGTGAAATGGGGTCATCCTTCACCCAGCACCGTCAGGGCTGCTTGCAGGAATGCCTGGGAGATGGGAGCATCCAGTGCTGTGCCAAATTCCCAAATCTCTTCTCAGGCTCTGCCTCTCCCCAGTAGGGCAAGCCCAAGAGTTCCTAAAAAACAGAGGAGAAARGGGCCAGAGAGCAAGGAATTGTGCAGAGGGATCCTGATGTGAAACGCGGGATGTTTTTTTGGGAGAAAACTCAGAGATTTCTGCTGGTGGAGCGTCRCTGTGACAAATGTGGGCTCATAGCAGTGACGGGAGGAGGGTGCTGTCCCCAAAGCTGTTTYGGGAGGGGTGGCCCCGAGCTCTTGGTGAGGCTCCAGCTCTGAGATGCGCAGTGTGAGAAGCTCCAGTTGCTTCCTTGAGATTTTTGTGACAATTCAGCGCCGTTTTCCTGCCGGAATAAACGTGTGGCAGGTTTTTGCAGCTCACCCTGAGTGAGCTGAGCCCTGGTGGATGGATGGATGCTTGCTGGGGACTCTCCAGGACAGCAATCCCAGGGCAATCAGGAGGATCTGGGATGGCTGCAGAAGCCATCCCTGCAATCACCCCCTCACTGCTGCTCTCCTGTGAGGAAGCAAACGAGGGATCCTTGAAACTGCATCGTTTAATGGGCAATCAGGGATTCTCTCAGCAGGGGAGGTTGTTCATCAGGAAGGGAGAAGGGGGAATGGCTTTCTGCTGGCAGAGGGTGGGGTTATTGGGATTTTGGGAATAAATCACTGGCTGTGAGGGTGGGGAGGCCCAGRGAAGTGTGGCTGYCCCATCCCTGGAAGTGTTCAAGGCCAGGTTGGACCTGGTCTGGTGGAATGGAATAAACTTCAAGATCCTTTCCAMCCCAAACCATTCTGGGATTCTGTGATCCTCCGTGTCTGTGGCTCCTGAAAAGCACCTCCTGCACGGCTCCAGTGGATGCACCACAGCATTCCTGCACTCCCAGTGCYGTTTTTCCTGAGGGAATGGGAGCCACAGGGGCCCGTGAGAGGGGAGGGAGCTCTTTGGAGGCCGCTCAGCCTCGGTACGGTCGGGTTTTTGAGCTCATTTATTCAGCAGCTTCTTGCAGCCTTCACAAATGGATGCTGCTGAGTYGAGAGCCGTGACCGCTCCCCTGCTYGGTTATTTACAGCTCACTGCAGCTGACTTACACCATCTCCATCAGCAGGGCTGAGGGCAGAAGGAAAACCTTCTGGAATGACAGCCAGGGGATGCGAAAATCCCTTCCCTGCTTTTTTCCCCCCTTGTTGTTACAAACCCTGAGCCTGACATGGGATGGGGGGAAATCTGTGGAGCGGCGGGATCTGTGGGTTGAGAGGTGGGGAACAYGTGGAAACGTGGCAGGGTCTTCTCACTTTGACCTTAAAATGTGCCATTACAGCTAAAGTCAGCTCTCCCAGTCAGCTGGAAACAAAAGAGCTTTTTTTTTTTTGCATCTCCGTGCCCAGCTCCGTCCTCCCAGCACTGACACAACGCGCCCTGCTGGGCCTCGCTCCTGTGGGGTGCGGAACAAAAGAGCCCTTCACCATGGCCAAAATCAAATGTCCTTGGCAAAGGTCACAGGCTGATGGCTCTGGTTACTCCAGGGGAGAGGGATTTTTAGTCAGACCCCACGTGTCCTGATGGGGCAGGCAGGGTGCTCACCTGCCTCTCAAGGTCCTCCAGAGCTGCATCTTCTGAGCTGCAAGGATTAAATCTCCCCAGAATTTGGTTTTCACTTGTTTTTTTCTTTCAGTAGTAAGGCTCACGTTCATACTGTCGTGGTCTGCAGCCAGTTTGTGGTTCTGGTGCTTCCTCCCCGTGCTTTATTCGGTGTTTCCCCTCTCTCCACCCGAGGTGGAGCTGCCTGTGAAGGTGTTTTCCTTCAGGTTTGTCCTGCATAAACTCTGTGGTGATCAGGAAACCTTTGGGCATCCCTAAGGATCATTGTGGCCCCAGTGACTTGTGTTTAAGTTTATCCTAAATGGGATTGGGGAGGAGTGGAGCCAGRCTTGGTGAACTTCTGCTTCTCCTTCCTGTTTTGCATCGCTGCCCAATTTCCCCAAGTGGTTTTGCCTTCCTCRGTTTCTCTCCGTGCTTTGYRTGTCTCMCTCGTTTCTCCCCGGCTCTGTTTCYTCCTCTGCTCCTCAATCCCYTGTGCTGCTCATCCATCTGCATTTGGGAGCAGGATTTGTCACTGGCTGAGGTTGTGCCCCTGGCTGGTATCAGGCTGGAAATTTTGATAAATTTGGTTTTATTATTGCAGCAATGACAGTTTAATGGTCTTTAAATTCTCTCAGCTCAGTAACTCCCATTGCTTATCCCTGCACCCACCCAGGAACATCAGCCCTTCCCACCCAAATTCCCAGCAGCTCCTTCCCACCCATTGCCATAGGATGCTGGTGCCTCAGTGCTCCGAGGATTTCGGAGGCTGCAGAGTGTTGGTGTCCCRTGGTGGTGTCCCTTGGCCACTAAATAAGTAGCTCAGTTCTGTTGTGTTGAAAAAATCAGATAAAAATAAAGCAGAGAGTTATTCACACGTGGGAAAAAATAGAGCTGGTATGTGGTGCCTGCCTGCAGTGCGCTCCAGGAGCTGCAAGGGCACTCACTGGCACTTTGGGACCAAGGGAAAGCTGTTATTTATAGCCAGGCTCACTAAATCATTCCCCCTAAGGCATTTTTCTTTCCCTTCTCTTTGTGCTATCATCATCCTTTTCCCTTTCCCCTCGTGAGCACAAAGCTGTGAGCAGCACCTTTTCCATCCCTGCTTCCAAACCAGGAGCAGGGACACATTCCCAGGAGGGAATTTGGTCAGCACTGTGYATCCAGGGATGGATCTGGTGCATTTCCCTGCTCTCCATCAGAGGCAGATGTTTGTTCCCGAGCGTGGCGCCATGCGGGTCATTTTTCGGGGGTCAGCAGCAGGGATCTCTTGGGGTCATTCCTCAGCTTCCTCCACACCCCTGCCTGTTTTTCAAGCCCAAAACTTGGACATTTGAAGCCCAAAAGAGTTTCGAGTGTCCAGSAGGGAATAAATCCACATCCTCATAACTTACGAGCTGCCTGGCATGCCTTGAAAAACTGATTTATCAGCCGGGCTCTTGAGAGGGTGTGGAGTCCTGGGGCTGTGGGGAGGGAAATACACCCATCAGGAGGGGGTTTTGGAGAGCTGGGGTGGCTCAGTGTGGGGCCAGGGGGCTGTGGGGTGCTGTGGGGTGCTGTGACACCCAGCACAGCCTGACCCCTGCCCTGCCTGTCTTGCAGCCCAGCACCTGATCGCAGCCACGGCGTGCCAGGAGGCCGACTATGGCTGGATGATCCGGCACTACTGCCTCAAACARTTCCAGCTCAGCATGGAGGGCATCGGCCAGCGCCTCTGGTGCGACTGGGACGAGACTGTGGGGTAAGTGAGGGGCCCCCGCCTCTCCCTGTGCTCCTGATCCCATCTTGGATCCTGGGCTGGGAGGGTGTTGCCACTGGGGTTTWTTTTGTGGGGCCAACACTCTGATTTTGCTCTGCTCTGCTGCTGATCCTGCCCTGGTGCATCCCAGGGGTCAGYGCTGTCCTGCTTCACCCCCTGGTGAGTGGTGTGAGCATTTGGATGGGGTGAGGTGATTTTTAGAGGTCATCTCCAGCCTCAGCGGGTCTGTGACCCTGCCAAAGCAGGGTTTGGAAGTCAGGATGGTGGGAATGCCCCAGCACACAACAGCAGGGGTTCAGGAGGAGAAGCCCAGGCTCTGTTGYGTGCTGGGAATTGATGGGTTAATGAAGCAGCAGCCTGGGATCCCCCTCACGTGAGCTTCTGGTGCCTCACAGCTCCATGGATGTATTTTCCATGAGATTTTTTCCCAGCACTCTGGTTCTCCAGACAGCCCCAARTGCTCTTTAACTCGGCTTGAAAACCCCAGAACCCACTGTGAGAAAATCCCAGGCTGTCCCACTGGCTCAGCCCCTGCTTCCAGGAGCCATGTGTTGATTTTTCCAAGCAGCTGGAGGGAGGGGCTGCAGTGGTGTTTGTGATCAGTGTCGGGGAGTCAGCTCTGATTTATGGCTGGGGAGCAGCAGGGATGGAACCCAGCTTCCCTGGGGGAATGTTTGGGAGCATCTCCAGAGGATGAGGAGGATGGAAAGGGAGCCCTGCTCCGTGCAGGTTGTTGGGTTTTTTTGGGGMATTTCTTTCAGGTTTGGTTTTATTTTTATTGCAAGCGGTGCTTTCTTTGGATCAGCTCTTTCCTATTTATGATCAACAGAGCTGAGATTTTTGGTGCTGCCATGGTGTAAATCCGCTGAGATGATTTTGATTGAAGCTGAAAGAGTGGTCAGGGGTGGCTGTGTGTGAGGGCTTGAGAAAATACCCCCCTTTTCCCCTTCAGCTGACTTTTCCATGGCCTTTCCCTGGGAAAATGAAGCAGCAGAACAAAAATGAGCTCACATGTGACACCAGTGGGGCTGGGGGTCAGCTGGAAACAGGGAGCAGATGGTGCTGTGTGCCATGGGCTATTCTGCACAAAAATGAAGAGGTTTTGAAAGATTTTGGTGATTTCCTTTCTTCTGTGCCAAATTAAAAGCTGCACGTGTGTGTGTATCTTTTGGTCAAAGGTTGGACTTGATGATCTTTTCCAGCCGTGATGATTCAGTGTTTCTAAAATTACTGTTGGGTTTTCCTTCCCCTCGATCCGTGGCCACAAGGAGGGGAGGAGAAGAGAACTGAAAGATGGTGGGAGGTTTCTGGTTCTGAGAAACCTCAGGAATGCCCAGGGCTGCTGATGTTGCTCCAGCCCTCACCATCTTGTTCTTCATTTCACACGTCCTGTTTTTGCCCTGAGTAGCTTCAGCTAAGCTCGCTGCCCTTGAGGCACTTTGGGGAAATGTTGACAGGCTTGCAGGGTTTAATTTGAGTGCCTGGGTCCATTTGCTCCGTGCAAACACATGGCTTGGGGTTATTTGAGAGKTGACGTTCCCCTGATCTTTCCGTGCCTGCAGGACACTGGGAAGTATTTGGTGGAAATAGCTCAGCTACTGTGGTAAACCAGCTGCAAGAATATGGGGTTTGGATGGGCTCCCTGGATAGGTGTGGGAATCCCCATCCCCTTTGTGGGGAAAGGGAAGATGTGGGAAAGGGGTGGCATAGCTCTGGGGGGGTCACCCCTCTGGCTTTAGGGGAAGGATTTGACTTCCACCACACGTGAGACAAAGAAATGGAAATAACCACCTGCCTGGAGCCTGTTCATGCCAGATCTTCCCCCAAACCAAGGAATTTTGATGCTGAAACAAAGAGAAAGGYTTATCCAACCCCCTTGGAGCTCTGCTGGCTTTCTTATTGGGGTTATTTGGGGGAAATTGTGGGTTTTGATATCATGGACCAGKGGAGCCTGTATGAGCTGTGCCCCACCTCGGCTGCCCTGGGATTCCAGAGCCACCCTGGAGCTGCATCTTGGGCTCCTCCACTCGAGCTGCTTGGGCCAGGAGCTCAGCTGTGCTGGGTGAATGATCCCAAAGATCAGCGTGGCTGTTTGATTCCAGCTCCTCCGAGYCAGGGGGATGAGCTGTGGGCTCCCTCGAGGCAGCTATTTCGGGGATGTGCAGGGCTCGGGCTGCCACTGGGACTCGTGGATCTCTTTCCTGCTCCGTTKTGGCCGGGGGGCCGTGGCCAGGGAATGGGTTTGTGCACGGGGTCGGTGCAGGGAGCACCACAGCTGTGGGTGTCACTCCAGATCCCAGCCAGGCATCTTCATCCCAAATATGTCCACGCCTGAAAATCCCCGTGGAATGCTTTGCCCCTTCCTGTGGGAAGGCGCTACCCGGGGGATGGTGCTGCTCTCCCGGCTCTCAGCACGCTCACGCTCTGTCTTCAGGTTGTTTGTCCATTATTTACAGAAAACAGATTGATCCATTCTCTCATTATCTTATTATCTACTTATTTATCTTCAGCTTGCCAGGTCCCTTCTGGATTCCCCTTTAGCTCACCCTGCAGCCTCGCAGAGGAGGAAATCAGTGTTTCCTTTTAATTTGCAAAGCAAAAGTGGAGCCTTGTGGTGTTTCCTTTTTTTCCTTTCTGAGGGAAGGAATTCAGGGAAAATAGGAAATACCTGGATATCGTGGTGAAAAGCTGTCAATCCTGTGAGCCCCAATCCTAGTGCAGCACCATCCACATCCAAGGGCTGTCAAGGAATAAATGCCAGAGCCAATTCCAGTCTTGGTTGCAGTGGTAAAAAAAACCCAGAGGAATTCCTTAGGATTTATAGCAGCGTAAGCATTCGGATCCCATCCAACCCTAAATCATTCTTTGACTGCTCCCCACCAGTGGTCCAGCCCTGTCCCTATCCTGCCTGTGGCCCTTTATCCACAGCATCCTTTAAACCATTTCCATGGTGACAGGGAAAACAGTTTTAATTGCAGTTCACATTGGGTAGGGAAAAAAAATTTCAAAGTAAAACTGAGCTTTTGAGGGCCAGCTGCCTGTCTCCTGGCAGTGGTGGGATTGTTTGGGAAAACCTGCCTTCTCTCAGTGCAGCTTCTTAATATTTTTGTGGAGGAGATGTTGTTTGGGAGTTGGAGGCTTGCAAATGAGCTGTGGGCTTGTCTGAAGACCAAAAGCCTGACTCTAAAAAAAAAAAGCTACAGGCAGAATGGAGGCTTGGGATAAAGTTTATTAAGGAAGGCCTCCCGTTGAGTCAAGGGGTGCAGAAAGGACCCTCAGGGGTGCAGAAAGGACCCTCTTGCTTCCTGAATTTCTTGGACGGGGTCTGGGTGTGTCTGGATCCATGTATTTACTACATAGTGTAGGTAGTTATATTGGAATCTGTTTATTGAAACAATACTGAAGCAATGCTGTTAAAATGAACAAAATTACAGAGCAGAGATTGATGTTTTTTTCCACATGGGCAAACCCTGACTCTCCTTCTCCATCCATCCCTGAGAACTTGCACAAATAGGATGAAGTTCAAGCTGGTTTACCCCCACTGAGGCAGAGCATCCTTCTCTCCAGGGTGTTTTAACTCAGTGACCGAGGCTCATCCTTGCAGCCTCTGGGTTGGGCTGTGCGGTGCCAAGGGAAGGGCTGGACAGGAAAACAACCCAACCCCGCCTTCCCCGAGGTATTTCAGCACCAGCCRGGCTGAATTCCCAGGCTGAATTCCCCGTGGGACCAGGCTGGCGTGGTGCTAACACAATAACGTGGCTCTGCTCGTGAGGAGAGAGAGAACCAGATGCTGTGCTGAGATGCAGTGGGATGAATGTTCACCGTGGCTGGGGCAGGGAGGAGCACACTCAGCCCCGGGCATCAACACTGCAGCTCTCAGAGGGATCCTGATCCTGTCCAGAGTGGCATCGGGAGCAGCCTGGATCCGATGGGTCTGGTTATCCCTCCCCRGCAAACAGATCCCGCTGTGGCAGCTGGAGATGTTGGGAGAAGGTCCCCAGTGCCTCTGGCTGCATTTGGGGTGGACAGGAGGTGATGGTCTTAGGGCTGGTTGGGATGTGGGGCAGCTCAGGACCCTGCAGGGATGGGCTCAGCTGGTGGGGCCAAGGGTCTGTGAGATAAAGGGGAAGAAATGAAAGCACTAGGCCGGAGTGGAGAGCTCAGCTTTGCTTTTAGTTGGCCGCTCATAAAACTCTGGTCAAGTGTTCTCTGTGTAAGCAAAGGGCAGAAATCAACTCTTGAAGAGCACTCAGATTTGTTCTCCCTTTGGCTAAGAGCTCAGCAGCCTTCGCTGTCACCTCTGCACTTGGAGCTGTTCCTGAGAAAAGTTTCTTTTTCCATCTGGGACCCTCCCACTCAGTCTGTTCTGGGCTCTGGGGGTGTGCAGTGGGGAGGCTTTAATGAAGAAAGCGAAAAGAAAAGGGACAAGAGACTGAGGGTGTCTTAAGCCACCCCTGGAGGGACCCCCTCCAGTCATTGCCCCATGGCCACCTCCTTGTCCCCCAGCACTGCCCTGGAGCTGGCTGAGTGCTGAATACGGCTCCTGCCTCCCTGCAAAGGGCAGTGAGTTTTTCCTTCCATTTGCTGGCACCGCTGGGCTTTGGTTCCTGCATGTCTTCACATCYAGTGATGGGAGCAGTGATTTGTCCCCATGGAAGCACAGGGAAGGGCTGAGCCAGGCTGCTCTGTGGCCCTTCAGCTTTAAAAATAGYTTTTTTTTCCCTGTTAACACTTTCCTCTGGTTCCTGTAGATGCTGCAGCTCCTGAGATCTAAGGATGCTGATGAACGGGAAATGATAATTTTGCACACTGGGATGCTGAGCAGAAGCTGCTTTTAGCAGCTGCAGGCCTCATTAATTAAATCTCTGGCCGTGTGGGCACAGCCTGCCCCAAAACCCCAAACCTCAGCCGAGGAGCTGCACAGGGGCTGTGGAGAGTGCTTGGGAAGCTGCTTCTAAAATATTTCTTCCCTCAGGCGGGTTTTTAATTGGAGAGCTGGGCTTTGCTTTGCTTTGCTTCTCTAGGATTAGACGTGACTAATTGGGATGGGGGAGAAAATCGTATCTACGATATTTTTGTATTCATAGCCGGTTTTAAAGCAGAAAGGGTTTATCTGTCACAGTAATTCCTGTCATTCCAGAGGACGGCTGGATGGCCTGGCACAGGGAGAATGTCTCTGGCTCAGGGCTGCTCCTGGTTTTCCAAGTTGGTTTTTTTTTTTAATGGAAAAATGGAGGGGTGGGATGGGTTGTGGTCCTGCACAGCTGTAACCTCCCAGTTTTTAGGCAATCTAAAGGAGAATTTTAAGTAGATTCCATGTGCTTATTTCTGTCCCCCTTGGGCTGAACTCACACAAGCTGGAGGATGATGCTCCAAAGGCTGGCTTGGGTTTCATGAAGGTCTTTGCTGAAAATGTGGGTCCAACCTGTATTTTATAATAGCACAGTTCAGCTAGGAAATCCTGCAAAAATTAACACAAACAAAAAAAAAAACCCTCCAAACGTGCTTCTTGTTATTCCTGTAAATATTATTTCTGTTTTAATTTCCTTCTGTAAATGAAAATACCACCTGCATGTCATTCCATAAATGAAAATCGCTTTTGGCTGTGGGTGAGCACTTGGAAGTTGCCATCAAAGTGGCAACACCTGGTGGGAATTYAAAACACCCTGTATCTTTATAGCTAGATAGGTGCAAACTCCAAAACCCCATATATTTTTATAGTTCTATATAAATTTTCAAAAACCCACTATATATTTTTATAGGGCTAGATATATCAAGGTAGCTGTAAACTCAAAAAAAAATGGCTAAAAAATTTTAGTACGTCGAATAACAGCTATGGTAGGATCTCAACGAGATGAATAGTGTGTATAAACTCAAAAAAAATAGCTAAAAATTTCAGTACGTCATATAACAGCTATGACAGAATCTGAACGAGTGTATAAGAGTGGAGCATTTTGTATTTTGCGAGGGGAAGGCGGCGTGGCCGTGATGCCCACGGTGTCCCTGTGTGTGTTGCAGCACTTACGGGGAGCTGACGAACTGCACGGCGCTGATCGCCGAGAGGCTCGACTGCTACTGGCCCAACCGGCTGGTGGACGAGTTCTTCGTGGCCGTGCACAAACAGTACTTCAGGAACTGCTCCCCGTCGGGCCGGGCGCTGCACGACCCCCCGAACGGAGTGCTGTGTCCCTTCATCGTGCTGCCCGTCCTCGTCACCCTGCTGATGACCGCGCTCGTGGTGTGGAGGAGCAAACGCAGCGAGGGCATCGTGTAGGGACAGTGCGGCCGGCAAAGGGGGGACGGGGGGATTCTCCTCTCGAACGTGCCTGGTGTTGGGGAAGAACCACGRAGACAGGGACAGCATCACCACCGCACCGTTTCCAAATTAATGTAATTTAAGCGATGGGGACTCCTCCGCCGCTTCCCTCCYGGCACCCCTGGCATCATGTGCCAAGCAGGAAAATTTTAAAGAAAAAATCCCAAGGGGATGTAGGGAGTTGAAATCCTGCCAGCCCGGCATCAACACGCGTCAGACCAGCGTGTCGGGGTGAGGTAAAACATCCTCAGCTTCCTCTTCCTGTCGTTTTATGGTTTTCCCCCACACCTGGAAAGGCATCTTCTCCCCCAGCCCCCGGYACGAGGACAAGGCTTGCACGGGCTGGGTTTGGCCGGGGAGTGGCGAACAGCGGGTCAGAGTGGGAGGTGGGAGTGGAGGGCACTGGTGGTGCCTTGGGGCTGACAAGGAACGGGARTAAGGTGCTTTTCCTAAATAAAGAAAGAATAAACCAGGTGCCTGTCTGTGTGAAGGCTGAGGTGAAGCTCCCCCTCCCTGCCCTCACTTTGTGATGCCAGAGCCCCCCAGTAGTGCTGTTTCCCCCCTGGGTGAGGCTATGGGATCCCTAGGGRAGGTCCCTGGGTGTGGGTGGGTTGGTCAGGGGGCCAGGAGTGGGGTCAGCTCCACTGCAGGGAGACTGGGAAATACCTGGGATGGGGATCCCCAACCTTACACTACTCTCTGCCATCCCTGACAGCTCTGGCCCACTCCAAACCCCTTCAGTGCCTTGCTGGCTCAGGAAGGGGATCCCTGGGGATGCCCAGCTTCTGTTTATTCCTGAATCACATTTCCCAAAAAAACCCCAAAACGTAGGGGGACACCCAGCCCCCTGCCTGACCCACYGTGCCCAGGTTCCTTCTAATCCAAACCAGTCTGTAATTCTGGCAGGAGCATGGATTAGTTACATCTATACAACTATATACATGGAAATACATATAAATAAATATACATATCTGTTTATATAAATATATAAATTCCCCAGCTCCTCTTATTCAGGAAAAATTCAGTTTATTTTCCTGGAMTGTGAACTGRTAAGTTTCTCAGATTCGCCCCCCCCCCCCATCTCTGGATGAGAACAAACCAATGCTCAGGCTTTCTTGTACAATATTTAACAGTATCSAAACTTTATTATTCTGCTCATCTCCTCCAGGCAAGCAACAATACAGGGAAGGGGTTAAACAGGATTATTCTGGGAGGCAGGGATGGCTTTGATGGCTGCAGCTCTGTGCTCAGGGGGCTGCTGGTATCCTGACACAGCTTTGCTTGGGTGCCCTGGGCAGCACCCTGGATTTGCTCTGCCCTGGGCACATCAACAGCAGCTTCCCAGCATGAGTGGGGAGCCACCCACGGTGATAGCCCAAGAAATGGGGACTGTGACCCCTTCTCCTGAAGGATGGAGCATGGTAACAGTACCAGGGTGCCCCTATGGCAAGGARCACTTTGTTATTACTGCAACCTGGTTGAGTTTTCAACACAAGAGATTCAKTCTGATGCCATAAAATCTATTTCCCAACCTTGCTATTTTTGTGTTCTACTCCTTACCTTTGCTGACATGTTTTGGCAGCAAAGATCCCTCACTGCACTGGCCTACCTAAAACACTGGGCTGATCCACACTTCATCGTGAATAGTAGAAGAGAGGTGAAGCTCTCCTCCTTGGAGATATTCCAATCCCTGCTTCCTCAGACCTCCACAGCAGCTGCAGGAGCTTGTGCAGCTGTAAAGGAAAGGCACAGGGAWACTCAGCGCACAAGTTCCATGCTTACAGTCTGCACCCCAGCTCTGCCATGCTCATGATAGAGATTTTTGATTTCCTCCCGTGTGTACAGAGGAACAGCAGGAAAGAATGAAGGAGGGGATAAAATCCCAACAGTCGATGCCCAAGTGTCACACACATGCTCTGCAGAAATCACACAAACGTTCATTTCTCTGGTTTATAAAAGCTCGGGCKGGTTCCATCAGCTCCTCTGTGTGATCCCAATCCCAGGGGATGCCCAGGCAGCTCTGGCACATGGACTGAAGCCACTCCTGAGGTACGTGCTACTCTCCTCTGCAGGCTCTCTGCTCACACAGTGCCATCCACCTCCTCACAGAAAAGGCAACTGCAGCATCACATCCTTCCAAATCAACAAAGCCAAGTGTGCACCAGTGGGGGGAGATGCACTGTGGTTCCCATCTGTGTCACTCCCTTTCAGTGCAGGAATGTGGAGAACACAATTAGGTGTTCTCCAGGGAATGGTGCCTAAGGTTACTCTCATCAGATCAAACAGCATCTGATGCTCCCTCACCACATCCCGAKTGGAAAGCCAAAGGCAGATTTCTTAAAAAAAATCTCCCTTTCATTAATTTTTTCACAGAAATATATAATATATATAATATATATATATAAATTTTACTAATACTAAACATTTACTTAAGTTACGTATTAGCCTGTATTTCTTTTAACTACTTCACACCATGAACAGAAACGAGAAAAAAAAAGTACTGCAGCCCAAACAGGGCCTGAAATTAACAATGTAAAAATTCCAAACTGCGACAAAAACATACTTACATTAAATAGCATCGAGAATTTCAATACCAGAAGTAGAATCTCATTTTGCACTTCCACTCTGGCAAGCTCTAAGCCTCAGCTGAGTGACTCTTGGAAAAAGCTCATATTGTTTCTGCTCATCAAAGGCAACAGTTTTGTGATTTGGTTCACAGGAGACCATTTATTGCCAACTCGAAGTGTTCCAAAAACACACCACCTTTTCTGTTTGGGTTTGTTTTTTGCCTTCCCCCCTCCAGATTAGGCAAGAGTTTAAAAAAAAGTGTAATTACAATTTGAATAGTGATTTAACTTCTCAAGCATATCTCATCAACAGGATATACAGTACAGTTCAGAAGAGTAAACATTTGTAAAAGGAAGCAGACAACTTTTTCAACCAACAGACACAATTTCTTGCTGTATTTATGCTGAACTCTCCTTTGAACATGGACAAGTTATGAAGTTAGTTTTCTTCTTCAGTACAACATGGACACAGGACTGGTACAATCCGGGCTGGTTTGGCTGCTGTTGAACTTAAGGACAACTCTAGAGTGGAGCCACGGTCCTGCCATCCATCCCCCTTCATCATCTTGCGTAGCGCTTAATGTAATCTTCAACTTTATTCCGAAAGTCCTCCTAGAGGGAAGCACAGGCAGGGTTACCCGGGCATGGCAGGGATGGACTCACCTGGGCTGCTGGATCCCCACGTTGGCCTGGCAGGTGAAACTCCCAGCCAGGGAAAGGGCTGTGCTTCTCCCTGAGCCTTGAATCCTTACACAGAGCAGTCTGTGCTCCACACAAATCTCCACAGTGGAATGAAGCAGGAAAAGAGTTTGCCATGCCCAGCTATGAACTTAGGTACCCACAGACTGCCTGATATTCCGTAACCTCTGTGTCCAGGGAAGAGCATACAGTTCTGGCAGGTTGTGCTTATAAAGCACAGAGATGCCGAGCAAGAGAAATTCAGACATTGTGTGATCCCTGTGCAAGCYGGGCTGTTGGGCAGACACCACATTCCTGGCATGTTATTCTGAGCCTGAACCTGACAGCCTGGTRTTGAATTAAGTATGTTCCACCCAAACACACCGAGAGGCCCGTGCTCCAGAGTGCATTCTGCTGGATTTCCAGCTCTCACTTTTGTGTTAAGTTGCTGGAATATAAAGCAGGAAAACCTGGGAAATTTATGTACTTACATCTGTTTTTTAACAAAAAAAAAAACCAACCAAAAAAACCCCAAACCCCACAAAATAGACAACAAAACCAAAAAATCCACAAACGCAAAATGAAACAAAAAACAAAGAAAACCTCACATAAAACACAACCAAAAAAACCAATGCACGCAATAGATGAGGAGGTTTTGAACACTGTCCTGGTACACTGRTGCTGCCTGGAGAGCAAAGGCCATGGAAGCACTGAAACCCTCTGCTTTCACTAGAAAGGGCACAAAATCCCACTTGCCATGACCTGTGGGATCACAACAAGGCATAGTCCTGCTTGAAACAATGTCACTTGTCAGCTCCAGGTTTGCCAATACATAAATGAAGCCTTTCAAACACATCCCATGTGTTTTGGTACAGAGCTGGACATCATATCACACCAGGAAGGAGCAYGAATATGACCTTTCTGCATTATTCAACATCTGTACTCATCAGTATTTCCCTGTCTCCAMCATCAAATTCAAACACTTCACATCAGTCCCCTTTATGATGGTTTGGTTGTCCCAAGTTTAAAATCCAAAAGGATCAAAGACAACCCATGATCCATCAAAAACACTGTGTGATTTCCCTTTGCAGCTGATAAAGTGCATCACAGATGTCCATAATTATGTGCAACATGCTTGGAATCTCGATGTTTAAGATGGAGTTCAAGGCAAAAAATATCCTATTAAAAATACGGCTGCAGAAATCCCATTACTCCTTAGGGACAGGCTGCCTGCTCTTCTTAGGTGAAAGGAGCAGCTTTTTTAGGTCCAGTATGGCACCAGCTAAAGGTAATATTGTGTGTAGTGACTTTCTCACTCTGCTGCAAGCACACCCATTTCTCCCTCATCCAACTGTGTGTTCAGTGCGTTAAAAAACTGCCACTACAGAGCTAATGCCATATTCAGCTGAAATAAAATTTCCAGACCCAGGCAAATTCAATCCATAGATGCAGGTTATGATAGCTATGGTGCAAACTGAACTCACTGAGGGCTTGTTGCACATTATTTTCCGCTAAAAGAAACTGAGCACAAGGCTAAAAACACCACTGGACACACAAGACCCAAGAGCAGGGCAGTGCAGACAGCTCAGTGCACCCTCAGCTCTTGCCTCTGTCCCTTTATGAGTTATTGAACAGGAAGCTGGGCTCTCTGCAATGACTGAAGAGAAGTAAAAGCCTCAGTAAAGAAGGAAGGCTCCAGAAAGCCACTCAGCAGGCTGGGCTGAAGGACCTGATGGTGTTGGCAGGAGCACTTTCACAGGGTASTCACTGCATGTGGAGCTGGCTGTGAACAGGAGGGGCTCATCCCAGAGCTGCAATCATTCCATCCTCACATGCCATATGGCTCAGCACTTCCTGATTAACGGGGGGCACTTCTCTCTGGGCACAGCTGCTTGTGTGCAACACTGAATAATCAGAAGCAAAAAAATTAAGCAGAGAAGGACGTACTCTGCATTATAAAGAGGCACAGATAAAATCCTGCTAGGAATGCTAAGGGAAAGAAGAAGGATTCCTAACATCCCTGCAAGGACATCACCCACAGAAAWCATCCTCGGTGTTTAAACAAAGATGCTTTGTTTGTACAAAGAGGTTTAATAAATAACCTTTGCACAAATAAACATTTCTGTAAGATAAACAGGACAAGGGGCAATGATTTTAAATTAACAGAGGGCAGGGTGAGATGGGAAGAAATTTTTCCCTGTGAAGAKGGGGAGGCCCTCRCACAGTYTGCCCAGAGAAGCTGTGGCTGCCCCATCCCTGGAAGTGTCCAAGGCCAGGGTGGACAGGGCTTGGAGCAACCTGGGATAGTGAAAGGTGTCCCTGTCCATGGCASGGGGTGGAACTGGATGAGCTTGAAGGTTTCTTCYAACCCAAACCAGTCYGGGATTCTGTGATGATACTGAAGAGCACTTGGGAGAGGATCTCCAGAGCCTTAACCCCGAAGAGAATTTATTTCTACCCTTTCTAAAAGCACGTGGACACACATTCCAGAACTAGGCACTGTTTCAGAAACTGGGGTTTGACCTGATCTGGCAACTCTGGGAAAGGAGACTTTAGTTTTTCAGCTGTTTATACTGAACCAAGTGATGCTCATTAACTGCTTGTCTTTTAATAAGCTTTTAATTTGTAATCCCAAGAAGATCTGCTCAGTTATGCAAAGCAAACACAAGACTTTGGTGACAGCTACCAGAGAAGTTTCAAAAAATACTGATGGAAGCTTTCTCTTGGGAATTTTTTCTATCTATTTAAAACAAATGATGTGTAAGAATTACCCAAAAATTTAAAAAAACAAAACAAACAAAAAAAAACCCAACAAAAAAACCCACAAAACCAAGAAAAAACAACAAAGCAGATTCAGCTTGTTTATCATCCTTAATATAACCACTACTGGTATTTCACGCACTGCACTATTTGGCCAGTTCCTGCAGGAAAATGTGCAGTTTACCACATCTGTCCCTTGGCTCTGACTACAAGCACCCAGATATTGTGACAAACTCTGATCCACCTTCACATCTACAATTTTGTAAAATTCAAATGGAGACAGAAAAGGATCACAGATCAATAGCTCCTCCTGCCCTTCCTTCTTTTGTGCTAATTTTTTTAAAGCATCTCTATTTTAACAGAAGACTATCTGAATTCACCATTTATCACCAAGGTGAAAATCCAAACAACCTCTGCTAGGACCTGTGTTTTTAAAGTGATTAGAAAAGGGGACTCCTGAGCACCAGTAAAACAACATTCATTACTGAGCTCAGCCAAAGCTTTAGGAATATAATAACCAGGTAGATTTACCCATTARCCCTATGAAATATATTGAAARCCACCTTTTCTTTCTTTTCTCCCTYGCAGAAAATAATAAGTATTCACACCCATCAACCCCCACACATCCCCTCCCATTTAGAAAGCAGCTGAATGAAACCTTTGAGTAGTACACAATTCTCAAGTATGAGGTGTTTTTTTTCAATTTGTGCTCCTGCCTTGCTCTCATTCCCATCATTGTTTTATTTAGCTCAGTCTCTACACGATGTGAAGAGTTTTCCAAGCTCTGTAATTAAATTTTAGTTCTCTGAAGAAAGAGAAGACTGGAGGATAAAAAACCTATACAAAGGTATCTCCCACGAGCTCTGTGCCTAGCAGGTGCAGTCAAAGCCACATGGATTTTCAGGGCCTGCGACCCCTATTTCTGATTTTAAAATTCTTCTAGACACCAAGCAATTGTGATTTTACAAAATTATGAGAAAATGCTTTAGCAGATTTCTCAGTAGCTAAGTTCTAAGGAGAAAAAAAAAGTGACATATTTATTGCAGGGAAAAAAAACCAACCAAACCCAAACTACACCACAGCAGCTATTTGGGAAAAAGCAGCATTGTGGGGAAGAAGAGAAACACTATGGTTTGGACCTTTTAAAAAAAAAAAATATCTCTACACAGAGCTAGGTTACAGAATTGGTGTGGGATGCAGTGACCTGTCTGTCAGGAYAGAGAGAAGCTGAAGAGACACAAAGACTTATTAACATGCTGAACACATTTGCACAGCCATTTATTTGAGATTATTTGAGATTTCACATCTTAAGCAGGAACCATTTCCCTCAAGCTTCCACAAATTTTCTGCTGTCTGCCAGTGGAACAAAGATAAAGGAAGAGAAACACTCTCTGAAGTTCCTCAGAGAGGAAGGGGCAATGGATTAGAGGGCAGGGATAAATACACCTAAATCCTGGTTGTGAAAATGCAAGAGAATGAGCCAGACGAAGAGGGCAAAGCACTTTCCAAAAGAAAATGTTCCCTGGATCAAAGGTAATGTGGGTCCTGACTCTTTTGCCAAATTCACCCATGGGCTGGAGGGAGGTAGTGGAGGCTGGCGAGTCCTCTGGTGCCACAGGACTTGGGATTTGCCCAGACTGTCACAGATCTCTTAYTGACATTTCTGATTTCACCCCGGTTGCTGAAAACACAGAAATCCTCCTGGGAGTTAACCCAGGGAGCAGAGACTGCTGGCGACCTCAGTCCCTGAGCTCAGGAGCTGGTCTCCTCTGCTCCTCCAAAGCTCCTGAGGCTGGCCTAGGCACACTGCCCACCTGGCCAGCTGTGGGAAAGGTCACACAATAGSCTTTCAGGAAAATTACCTGAATTATCCCAATTACACTGAGGCTGACCTCCTCTGAGCTGCAAASACACTTCCACCCATGGGACGCCACTCACTCCCAAGGGAGGTTCTGTCCTTGGGATGCGAGATCCTAATGGATAAATGACAAGCACAGAGGAAATGGGAGCTGCCTGGGTCTGGCCAGAGGGTTGTGCAAATCGTGCTCTGCTCAAGGCAAATGATGTTCAAATCAACCTGACCGGGTAGGTGAGGCACGTGAGGAACGCAGCTCCAAGAGCTCAGCCTCCCTGTTGGCACTGAAAACCCTGCCATGTGTTCCCTTTCCAAAGCA